GGAAAATATGTTTTTATTCTAATTATTCTGCCTAACCAATTACGCAATTTCTTTTTGTTTGTTAGCAGCAACTAGTTGGCAGTTTAAACCCCTCTCTTGGCGACATAAGCTTAGGGACCTCGGTTCCCCGCTCGGTTCCAACAACTTTTTTCGCGACCCAAAATCAGCATTTACTGGAAAACTGGGGACCCCATGTCGACTTGCGTAATATGCAGTAGGCCTATTCTTCAAGTACTATTTTGCTATTAAACTATTTCAGATACTAAAGTGATGTTGCTATTGTTAAAGTTAAATCAACCCGTCCCCTAGCTAGACTCGTTGATCAGGGTGAGGGGTGGGGCTGTACTAGAAGGGCCACGCCCACCTTAGTCCGCCACGTTTGGAGCTGAATTTAAATGGCCGGGCCCTCCCGACATGTTTTCACATCAAAGCGAATACCAACAGGGAAACACGTAAACGACACTCTTAAAAGCCTTTGGGGTGATGCCATTATGTCAGTAGGTGTTCAATCTTCACCAGATTTCCCCAATATTTACCCTCAATAACTGTTATTGCTATTATTAAAAAAAGATAATTGTGTGCTCTGTTGTGTACGTATACTAGGCCTACTGTCCATCGGCACACAGATATGCCTATTTAAAGTCTATAAATGTATGAAGAATCAATTGCGACCCTGCAACCGTGTCAGTGGCCCATGTTGGTAACAGTCCCGTTTTGCGTTTCGCGAGCGAAGCGGGCCTTATGCCGGGGGAGCCCATGATCCCCGTGGGGGTGGGGAGAACCCTCTGAAGCATTGACAAATTAAGATTTTAAGCGCCTTATAAATGGATTTCTATTGTATTAAAAATTTTATTAATTTGAATGTTGTTAGGGACCTGAAGTTGTGACTTTTTTTTACCAACAGGTAACATTTAATTGTTATAATGGATCCATCTCCTATCAATGGAGCTCATAATTTCCATCATATTTTGTACCACAATTATTAAGAATCAACGGCTAGCTAGAAGTGCAGGCAAATTATATACAATGCATACTATACCTAACTATAACATTTAGGAACGTTTTTACTGAATTTAGAGGTTATAAAAAATGGACTTTCGAAATGTAGAGGTCAAGTGGTGGTTTGTGGGAGAATCCCCGGACACTCTTGCAAAGTTGCATTTTGAGAGCCTTTATAATAGGATTTCTGAAACCCATAATTTGTGGATACTGTATTGTATTTAAATTTTCATTCATTTTTGGTATTGTAAAGACCTGAAAAAATACCGTTTTTATGTCCTTTACATTTGTAGGCCTACATATAAAATTGTTCATAATGGATGAATCTGCAATCACTGTAATTTTTACCACAGTTATTGAAAATCAACGGTTGGAAGAGCTGGCAAAAATGCAATACTATAGGATTTCATGATAATTAGGAACGATTTTATTGAAATAATGAATTTTGAAAAGTGGACTTTTTGATATTGGTGGGGGGGGGGTGGCTGGCTGGGAGACAGTGCGTTTTAATTGATTTCTCAAACCAGTACCTTCTCCACCCTCCCCCTGCACCTACTCTCCCTGGGCCATAGTGGTTAGTACTAGGCGCAATGGTAGCTAAATTTTATTGGAATTTGAGGGAAAAGTGATGATAATAATATAAACAATATTATATAAATACTGCAAAAAAAAAAAACAGTTATCGTTGACACAGATATTTCATAGTAGGTTTATTTATCATCATCCCCATTATAATTATTAATTATTATTATCATCAACATTATTAAAATTGTGCATGCTATTTATTATATTATAATAGGCATAATTATCATCTTCATTATAGTTATTATCGTCGTCATTATGAAAATTCTGCATGCCATTTGTTACTTCATAGTAGGCATCATTATAATTATTATTATCATCATTATTGAAATCAAAATATTATTATTGCATCCTTTTACGGAAATTCGTTGCTCGTACATTGTTAAAGCTATCGAAATTGGTTAAAATATAAAGATGTACAATAGAGATTGAAAGACAAAAAAATTAGTTACGTTTAAAAGAATAATTAAAAGATTGGATACCGGTTGTATGTATATAATACATTGTAATACATTATTAAAACTATTAAAATTGGTTGAAATATAGAAATGTACAATACCGTTTGAAGGAAAAGTAATTAAAATTGTTATTAAACATTTTGCTTAACGAAATCAGAGAAATATGAGGTGGTAGATGATTGGCCTTATTTATTAAAAATATACAGTATTTTAATGAGAACAATGATTTAAAAGGATTTTAAATGAAGACAGGAAAGTTTATATATATACTGTATATATCTGTCTCTTATACACATCTAGATGTGTATAAGAGACAGGCTCTACACAAGGTTATCAAATTCCCCACTAATTATCTGACATTGATAAATAAGATGTTGGAGCGTTCCTGTATTCTGGGATATCTGCTTACCATTTCAGCTACATAATAGGCAGATTATGGGGTAAGGAGGAGGTGGTGAAGATGCTTGCTTTCAAATCGCAGGGTCAATTCTTGTCACGGCAACATAATTTTTTTTATCATGACCAACAACTTCATTCCCTAAGCCTCATATTGAGACTTAGAAGTGTATGTAGCGAGGGAGTCAATGTAGAGCATCTTGTGTGTTGCCTTGTGAACGGAATTGCCAATTTGAAGAGTGACTAAGTTCAATGTCTGACATATCCTTGGTCCTATTGCCTAACACTGGATAATAAAAGTAAAGAAGGGGCTTCAAAAATGAAAGAAATAATGGTGAAAAATAAATTGGTATTCAAATGTAAACTTGAGGGTGTCATTTCCGGCCATCTAGCAGTGGGGCCGGAGACAGCTAGTTAAGTTTGAAGATAACTGGTAGTTTAGAATTTGATATTTGTTTAAGCAGCTACAGTAGCGTTAATATTTTACTTTACTTTTATTATCCAGTGTTAGGCAATAGGACCAAGGATATGTCAGACATTGAACTTAGTCACTCTTCAAATTGGCAATTCCGTTCACAAGGCAACACACAAGATGCTCTACATTGACTCCCTCGCTACATACACTTCTAAGTCTCAATATGAGGCTTAGGGAATGAAGTTGTTGGTCATGATAAAAAAAATTATGTTGCCGTGACAAGAATTGACCCTGCGATTTGAAAGCAAGCATCTTCACCACCTCCTCCTTACCCCATAATCTGCCTATTATGTAGCTGAAATGGTAAGCAGATATCCCAGAATACAGGAACGCTCCAACATCTTATTTATCAATGTCAGATAATTAGTGGGGAATTTGATAACCTTGTGTAGAGCGGGGCTTGACTTTCCCAAAGCATTCTATTAGGTCTCTCATCGCCATCTTATATCGAAATTATCGTACTATTATTATAAGAAATGTTACTATCACTGACGCATGTAAAAATGACTTGGTAATAATGACGGTCTATCTAACCTTGTTTCGTAATTAATATGTGACCAATGATGTAAGATGAGCAGATGATTGATTAATATTATTCATTAGCCTCCAGTCATAATGGCAGACATTACACAGAGCGGTGGTGCCTAAATTGAGCGACAGAGGGGTCCGAACCAAGGGATCAACGAAGTTTCGGTTGACGGCCGGAATAAAAAATAAAAAGTTCACGAGGAGAGGTTTCAGGGGCGGATACAGGGATGTCCATAAAGGGGTGAGGACCGAAAGCTGGGCCGATCGAGACAACACAGTCCGCGAAATTTTGTGTTCTAGACGCCCGAAAATAACATTTGAGGCGTTCTGGGCTTTCATTTTTTCTTTTTCTTTCATTTTTTCTTTTTTTTTCCCTTCTTTTTTTACCTCCCAAAAGGGGGCCGGGTCGAACCCCCTAAATCCGCCCCTGGGTTTTATGGCTTAGTATGGTCCAAATGTACCATTTGACCACAATATTTGGGATTGGTCATCAAAATAACATTATTTGGATAAGCAAATTATTATTTTTTTCCCAATTTTTTTGGTCCGACGACGTCGTTCGTTGGACGACAGGGGGTTCAGGCTGTCGACGGGGAAAATTCCTCCTGCCCTCCGCTGGTGCCACCACTTACACAAGCCTTTTTAACTGAAGTCAGTAATATCTATGCCTATAATTAATGATTTATTAATATTATATTAATTTGAGTGTAAAGTCTATGCATTTTCAACCGAGCCACATGATCTTGGAAAAACGATAAAATCGTAGTAGAAAAAAAAAGATTTTATCGTTTTACGATGAATTCGTTTGATTTTATTTGTGAAATTTTTTTTAATCATATACACGACGAATCGTTATTGAATTGTGCTAATGTAAAAATCTCTAGTATTTTATATTCTACAGGTACAATTGCTTTTTAGCTTATTATCGTTGATCGTTATCGTCATAGTGCAACATGGCCTTTAGTTTTTATGTAACAAGGCTCGGTTTTAATGTTATTTTTAACAGATTTTTTTTATGTTAAAGGGTTTTATAACCAAAAGTGTTGGGAGGGGGAGGGGAGGAGCCACACTTTGCCCAGCTGTAATTTAAAGCAGTTAAAATTGATATAATCTCAGTACCATTTTAAACAATGAATGTGAAGTTTAAATGTAAATATTATACAGTGTTTGAGTGTGGTACAATTTGGTGCTGTGATTTTCCTAAATATAATTTAGTAAAATAATATCTTAAATATTTAAAGTTTTGAAAAGGATTGTAAACCTAAAGCCCTGTGCAGATCAAATTTGTTTTGACAAAGACATGTGAGATGCCTAAATATGGTCATGATGACGTCACACCAGGACCATATATAGGCACATCATGACCATATATAGGCACATCATGACCATATATAGGCACATCATGACTATATATGGGCATACAACAGGTTTTTTTATCAAAGGTAATTTGATAAGTCTGAACAGAACTTAAGCAAGTGTCCTGCATAAGAGCTACCCGTCAATCCAACTAAAAATTTACGGGATCTTTTGCCAAAACGTTGCATTGATTCTGAACGAAATATTCAATTGTGTCCATTATTATGTGACGATGCTGGGGTCACCGTATTAAGCTTGATAAATACTATACTAACTATAAAGCAAAAAAAGATTCCAGATCCGATGACAATTCCGACAATGGCACCGCCAGACAATCTGCTGTCAATCTCAATAGATTTTTCGGTGTTCCATTCCGATACGATGGTTAACATAGAATCTGTTTTGGATGGTGTAATCTCTTCACTTGTGCTTGTTGTGGACACTGTGGTGTCTTCAGTTGTTGTTGATGATGTCTCTCGACTTGTTGTCTCTCCATATGCATTTGTTGATAATATGATGGTATTTATCAGTATGGTTAATGCCGTTGTATTTTCAGGAAAATCTGTAGGCCTGGTGGACGAATTGGTAGGATAGGATGGTGTTGTATTTTTAGTAACATCTGTATTGGACAAATCCTCTGTAGTAGCATTTGATGCAGCAGCGACTGAATTTTCAAAATGTACGCAAATCAAGGAGCAGAAGAATAACCACCAAATGAATGTCATATTCTCCTAAGAACACCAAATTTAAAAGATTTTAACCAATATCAAATCAATGTATGCACAAAAAAGGTCAGGAAGCAATTCAAAATTCTCCTAAACTCTGCTCTTTCTTATTCTAAGTAATTTAGTCTTTAATAATTTGTATCTAAAATTATTGCAGCATCACTAAAAGGTGTTTGATCTACGTATAGGGCCTACATTTTTTGGGGAAAAAAATGTGATTGCCTCATGATTATATTGCACAAAATTAGTCAGAGAAGCAAACATAAATTAGACATAACATTATTGCAATATTTAACATGCAAAAGAAACAAAACGCACATGTTAATACCAGTGACGTACTATATAATTATGTATATATTATGGCAGTTCCGTATTTGGAAATGATGACTTGGACAGGCTGTGTGTGAGGGAGAGTGCGAAGATTAAGTGGCAGAGGGCGGCTTGATGATTGAGTGAGAGGTGCTAACTGGGAAGGTAGATTTTTAACTACTTGAGTGTACTTTATTTCTTAGCAAATTTTGTGGTTGAGGTTTCCTGGCTGCGAACTTTTTTGAAGGGGCGTACACCATTCAATATATGCGACTATTGGATGGTCCTTCCTATTGATAAATAAATTTCGTGATTACCTTTGATTTGTGTCCCATGGTGTCACCTATAGACGTTGGTCTAAATTTGCTACAGTTTCTAATGTTTGCTTCCTTGTTGTCTAATAATTAATATGTATTCAACTTAGAATATAACCATCCAAATCTAATAAAGTATTCGAGAATGACTAGGAAATTTAATGTCATCAGAGCTCAAAACCGATGGTTAATCATTTATCTATTTCCATGGCAACCTTCTAATACATTGTGTAGGCAATCCATTATCTGACGGGTGTCCAGTAACAAAGTTAATGAGGAAGGTTTCTGGTATAAAAATAAAATGAATTAAATAAATCAGAATTCGTCTCGTTTAAAATAAAATTAATTCAGATAAATGTGTAATTGTAATTTTGATCAGTGCGAATCCTAATGTTTTTACCCTTATTTCTGCGTTTTAATTTTTAGTGTAATGGATGGAATTTTCGTATGAACATTAAGAAGACTCCTTGTTTATTTAGTTTCCATGACATTACAATTCAGATTCAGACTTGGTTGTTGTTTTATTGTTCTAATTCTTTGTCAGTTGTCTATACGCTGTGTCATAAAGTGAATAAAGTACTGTAGGCCTATAAGTATGTTAATACTTTATGATTAATTATATTGAGATGTTTTAACTGGATTAACTAGGCATGTGTTGCTATTGTTACTTCGAAGTCAGGTTCACAAGAAAGTTTTTTTTATATGTTGTACAACTGCTTTTCAAAGACACAAAAAGGTGTTTGAGACAATATGTCTAAATTTGTTCAAACACCCTTTTTTGTCTTAAGCCAGGCACTCACTGCGTCGCACGACGAATCCAACTCTGCACCATGTGAACGCAGACGACGCGACGTCGTTTGCTGATTGTCGGTGGCAGTCTGAACGGATCGTCATTAAATAAAAACAATCCGATGCGCGCGCGTAGTGACGTTGACGACCGTCGGGTTCAGTGGGTGCAACCCTCCGGAGCTTGACATTAAATGAACACACCAAAGAAAATTGAGTACCGTCCGTCACAAATCACGTGTTCATTAAAGGAACCAAAAAAAAAACAAACAAACAAACAAACAAAAAATCCATTTAATTAATTATATGCAAAGACTAATTATGGTCTTATTTATGAATCTGTTAAAAGTCAATAACTTAATTTTATTATGATTTTCTTTTTTGTTAAACCAGAAATAACTTAATTGTATAGTAAACAATTAAATTCTATAAGTTGAAATAAAATAATAAACGTAAGCGCACGTGGCTCTTAATCTTTAGATTAGGCCTACCTAAAAACCTCCTTGTCATAATTATGTTTGTTAGACTCTTTCAATCATAAGTCAACCATCTTTCCTATATAAACCCATATTTCTCTTTTAATTATATTTTTGTTATGGTTTTACTCCGAATAATTTAATAAATTAAAATGCTGTAATGACATTCAAATGTCACGAAAAAAAGAAAAGATAAAATTAAATGTAATAAATACAGGCTACACAACCGTAGATGACATATCATGCTTTGTATGACCACAACAGCGGCATATCTAAGGCTATTTAGAGGAGCGCACTCTCCCATAAACAGTTTTTTCACTCTTTCCTCTAAAAACTTGCTGAGTGAAATAATACACTGCAATAGTTCATATTAACTCATATACCCAGTTAGGACCTTATTCACTTTCTAATCATCCACTATCGCCATCTCAGAACTCCTAAATGCGCCACCAGACTAGATATAGTGAAGCAGAAACTTCCATCAATAAAATAAAGAAGATAATGATTACAAAGATGATTTATTGCCAGAAATAATAGAACATACATTAGATGGTGTGTATATACATGAATTGAATAAACTACTGGAGGAATCAGATGTTTAGAATGTATAGTTGTATATTTTGTTTGTGTCTACAGTATAATAATTTATTAAATAATATTAATAATATAGATAATGATGATAATAATTATTACAATAAGTTGCCATCCTGTCATTCAACATTTAGTTTCATTACCATCTATCAAATCATCGTCAATGGACTACTCCAGCTCTGCGTGGACTCCAGGACATCTCTCCAGTCCCGAGCGACGACATTACAACCGAGCACTTAAAGAAATGTACAAGATTGTAAAGATCAGTAGCAAGCGCTTGGACGCTGCCAACGAGTCTATGAGGATGTTAACTCCACAGAGGAAATCCAGGCCTGGAAATCATGGTAAGTGCAGACATAAAATTCGCATTCAATAATCAAGCAGATGGTTTCTTGGATCTTTGGTACAAACCCATTACTTGCTGTTAGAGTATTAAGTATGGAGTTGATATGGTATATCAAGATATGGGGGCATGTAGATGAGAGGGTGTTTCACTACATTCTGCCTATCATACAAAGAGTCGCATACCTTATGGTGAAAGTTGGTTTCCTGCTTTTGCAACTTCCAGGCAATGATGCCAAATTAATAACTAAACAAATAATTGTCTTCCAATCAAAGGGTCCTGAATTCAAATCCTTTGACACCAGGAGTTTTGCTCCATTCCATACCTAGCCCTTGTTTGTCAGTGTTGTACAAGTTATTAGTTCCTCATTAGATGTATGCTATGAAGTCTCATTTTTTCACCTTTCCAGTTGCTTCTTCATGATGTCGAGGAGAGATCTAATTTGTGAAATGTGAAGCCTGGACTATTAGTTTATATCCCAATTTTCAAATTTCTTATTTTCAATCCTAGATGTTACTGACATGAAATATTCTCAAAGTCCAAGCCCTTCCCAATTGCAACATGACTACATTTCCCGTAACAACCAGAGGCAGAAAAGCCGGCGACAAGATGGTCTCATAAATGAGGACGCTGCAAACCATGCTGATATTCAGGATGTGTACGTTGAATTAAATACCATAAGCAAACGCTTACAGGTAAGATCGACTGAATGAAAATAGCAGACAGTATTTCAGTTGGCTAAACTTGGATGTAACTAGTTGTAACTTGCTGTAACTGGTTAAAGCTGGTAAATTGAGTGCTGTACAACCATGTAGATACTCTTTGAATTTTTGTATTCTTGCTTACTTCTAAACAGTTTGTATGTAGTTATATTCAACTCAGGTTTATTCTATTCTTAACTTGTGTATTTTATTGCTTGTAGTTTCCACCTGTTCCCACACCTGAGGGAAAACTGTATTTGGCAAAGACAAGCCAAACCAGTCACTTGTTACAGAAATTGATTTTTAGTTATTAATACAGGTTAAAATAAGAGCTATAAAAAATCTTAATCCTTTAAATCCAACATTTCATTATGAAGTTACAGGAGTTTAAACATACAGCTGTTTAAAGAACAATATTTGAGAAAACAGCCTTCAAAGTTTAGATTTTGGGCATTTCTCAGGCAGAAATCATTACCATTACAAATTGTTGTTTTCACATTAAAATTGGGGAAAATAACAGCATAGCAAGTTATAAAATAGATTTAAAAAATATTGACATTTAAGCATGTTTTAACCATCAACTCTGAAATAGGATTTGTGACTAGTGACTGGTTTGGCTTGTCTTTGCCACAAATTTGAAATTGTTTGTAGCTCATAACTGTCTTTATTAATTTAAACATTGCAAGAAAAAATGTTTACTCAGGTACATCAAATAAGAAGCTGAGTTGCTGCTTCTTTTATTTTATACCTCAATGATTCAACCCATCTATTAGTCAACGACCTACCCATCCAATTTCCAAAAATTACAACTCTTGGGGAGCATATTTTTTCTTAAGTAATTAGTGAACTTCCTGCAGTTTTAGAAATGTAACTTGAACATACGTATAACTGCTAACTAGTGTACAATTTTACAATTTCAGAAAGAAAACGAAATCCTCAAAGAACGAGAACATGAAGTGGCGTTACGGGAACAGGAGGTTTATGGACGAGAACGAATGCTGGAAGAACAGGAGGAAATGAGTAGAACAGTGCATAATGAAAGTCGGAGTATACAAAAAGAAATCGCAGGAAGGTGGAAGCAACTTCAGGAAGTAAGAACTAACACACTGTAGGAGTAATCCTCATTTGTTAAAATTTTTATTTCATTCTTTTCGACAGGTACAAATATTAAAAAATACAATATGAAAGGGGAGAGCTACGGCAGAGGGGCAAAAATGGTTGAAACTACTATCGCCTAAGGGCATGCCTCTTCAACTTCTACTTCCATAAACTAATACAAACATAAATTAACTTAAACCTAACATTGTACACACTATAAAAATCATTTAATAAGCTAATAACGACCCAACCTGTATTCTCACCCCCGACCCAAAAAAATACTCGTCAATTAGAAATGGCAATTATTTTTTTTTTATACAAATAGCTATTTTACAATTGTATTATAATTACGTAAGTATAAAAATATAATTGTACTTAGAAAAGTGAAGTTAATAGTAAGTTACAGTACTTAAATATAGAAAGTCAGGAACTCAAATATAGGTAAAGGTAAGGTAAGCTAAAGGTAGGAGAATAACCCATAACTTGCGGCGCCATTGTGCTGAATTGCGTATGGGCGTGGTCCGTGAATTACTAGCAGCCGTAAAGAGGCAGTTATGGTAGCTACATGTTCACATCATTCCACACGACATGGGCTGAAAAGAACCATAATATCAGAGTAACCACCTACACCAAGCCTCCATTTGAAGTCCCTATACGAGAAGACTTGCCTGGACGAGGAGCAGCTGGAACCAGCGCCGATGTTAAGTCTGTAATTAAAGGCGCCCCTGCCTTACTGCTCAACCACTCAACTCGGGAGATTTTGATTGCACTTAGAAGTCATCTGCGCAAATGCGAGAACATTGAGTTCTTCTTGTCTGGATTCTAGTATGCATTTTTGCTCGTATCAATGTTTTGAAGGACGGTCACTGATAAATGAATGTTTTCTAGGTTTAGGACACCACATACAAATTGAAAGCCCTCTATTAAATTTAATTTACAGTACCAAGTTTTTCTGGCTCAGTATGTTCAATATTTTGATTACAGGATCATAAATGTCAGTTACAAGAGATGGATAGTCTGCTGAAAGAAAGGAATAAAGAAATAAAAAGAATGAAAGCATCGTTTGACACTCTAAAACAAGCCAATGATTCTCTCCGAAAACAGGTGAGTAAATGATAACTAATTAATAAATAATTAAATTATAAATACCACAAGTGGTTGAATAGTTAAAACATTTTTTCTCTTTCAAAACAAATTCTTGTTCAATCTAGGCCTTTCCATGTGTGATTTTTTCTTGGTTTTATGCTGATGTCATAATTTAAGTTTTAATGTACAGGTATTATTTCTAAATTTTAAGGTTTTTATTGTTAGTTAAAGTCAAGATGGATGTAGCAGGGATTGCAAGTAGGAAGAAGTCAATTCTGGAAGATCTGCTAAATGAGTTTTTTAAACACATTTAATTTATTTTGCAGTGCATGGTGATACTCATCTGCACTTAATTCCATGAGATAACTGATCATACCGGGGCGGATCCAGAGATGTCTAAAAGAGGGGGGTTGAAAGTGGGACAGATCGTGATAACACCAACCTAAATGGTCCAGGTCATGTCCCCGCGTAATTTTCGTTTTCTAGACGCCCAGAAATAGTCTCTCAGGCGTTGTGGGCAATCTACTTTTTACTTTTTCTTTCTTATTTTTTTTTCTTTATTTAACATTCCAAAAGGGGAGCCCGGTGCCCCTTCCTTCTAAATCTGTCACTGCATACTGTATAATAAAAATATGCAAATATATGAATTTGCGGAAGATGGGTTATTTTCTGGGAGATTCTTGCTAGCTTGTGAGAGTGCGGGAGACCATCACAAAAATGATAAGCTTTGTTAGATCGACCACCCATGGTAATATAATTTTAAACAATTTCATCATTTCATTATCAGCTCACCAGTGCACAAGAAATGAATAGCAAGTTTGAGTCGCAGGCCAACAACTTACAACGACGCCTACAGAATATACTGAGGAAACAGGAATATGATGAACGTGTAAAAGATGTGGAGAAATTAACTGTGAAAGAAAAAATTGAAGCTGAAAAGAGTACAACAAAGGAATTAAGGGAAGGAGGGAAGTTGCCACCAAGACAACATAAGGTGTGTGTTGACTTTATTAACATTATGCATTTTAATTGTTCGTATCTATGTGTTTAAGCTGTCATTAGCCAAATAGCCAAATCCTAGTAAAAAGCTAAAAACTTTTGCTAAATATTTTAACTCAAAATTAGCCAAGAGCTGGTGGAATTAAAGCTATAATTTCTTATATTCTTCTGTCTTTTGTTTTCGCTAATCAAATTTCTATTTGGCTAATTATTTTTATACTGAATTAGCCACATTGTTAAATATTATGCTTGGCCAGCTTAAACCCTGTTTAGTTTTATGTAAAGTTAGGCATAGTATCTTAAGTTATGTGAATATGGTTGATGTTTTAATCATTGTTGTAATTCAAATCATATTATTTTTGTTATTCTCATCATCATCATCATCATCGTCATCATCATCTCCCTCTGTATATTATTATTTTGCTGTTGCCATCGTTATGATTATTATTCTCTTTTGTGTAGTTACCAAATTTCTCTCAATCATCATCAGCATCATTATCATCATCACCATCAATTTCTTCATCGTCATCATCATCATTTTCTTCTTCGTATCATTTTCTTCTTTGTCATCATCATCATCATTTTTTTCATCTTTGTCATTATCATCATTCTCTTTATCATAATCACCATCCAAACCATCCTTTACTTTATCATCATCAACATCATCTTCATCATTCTCATTATCATCTTCATATGAGTGTTTCTGCAATTTTCTCTTGCTTCCTAACTGAAATAATCTTTAAAATTAACTTACCTTTAAATTTATTTTCATATTCTCTCTATATAGCCTGCAACATTGGTTTTTGATATGTTAGGCCAGTTGTTGGATTGGATTTGTGAGGTACACTTAAGATTCACAAACACAACACAACTCACTACAAACCATCAAACAGTGACACTTACCAGAGAAAAGTGTTGTAAGGTATGACAGGCCAATATTTTTAATTCTTTTTTTTTATATTTTAGTGAATATTATATTTCCATCAGGCTAGATCAGTTGTGTCTGCAACTCATTGTCATATACGGTATCCAACTGTTATGGGGAAAAGCTACTGATGATTTGAGAAACTGACTTATCTAGAAGTATCTTCATCAGGATTGAGGTGTCTAGAACATGTGAATTGGACCTTGAATGTTATATTTATATCAAATCTGTTTAATTAAATGATTTTGGGAGTGTAGTGCTGGTTAGTTATTACCTTTGATGCTGTAAAATGATACTTATGTAATTGTGGCAAAGACAAGCTAAACCAATCACTCGTTGCAAATCGTGTTTCAGAGAAAATGGCCAAAACATGCTGAAATGTCAAAATTCTTGAAATCTATTTTATTGCACTAAAGTAACCTTTATATATCTATACAGTACATCATGCTATGTTATTTTTCCCATTTTCAATGTTAAAATAAAAATTTGTAATCGGATTTGGCGATGGTTTCTGAATGAGAAACTTTGAAGGCTGATTGTCAGATTTAAATGATTCATTCACCATTTTATAGCTCTAAAATTCTCCTGTTTAACCCTGTATAAATAACTGAAAATCGTTTTTTGTGAGGAGTGACTGGTTTGTCTTGTTTTTGCCACAATTGATGATTGATTTTTGTTTTGTTAAAGATTTTGCCTCAGTTGGTAGAAGTTATCGGTCAACTCCCTCCAGTATGTGTTAAGATTCATCTTCCGTGCTTACAGTTCCTGTATTGGTCTTTGCTTCAGATAGAGTCTCAGGATGTATCTCAGGTACTTTATTTGCTTAGGTTTAAATAATGATCATGATGAGGATGAAGATGATGATGATGATTATGATGAGAATGATGGTGATGATGATGATGACATTCAAGATTAATTAATAGACAGTAAAACTTGCCTAAGTCGACTGTGCCTAAGTCGACTGTGGCTAAGTCGAATAATTTATAAATCAACCTTATTTTACTTGCCACACTTGTTGTGTTTTCCATTAACTAACAATCTGTAAGTCAAATTTTATCTAAGTCGAACAATATTTCAATGGCATTTTGGATTTGACATAGGCAAGTTCAATTGTAAATGATAATGTTTTTTATGTTAGCCTTTTTAAAATTGTCACCCTTTAGCGTGCGTCTATGACTTCAACATATCGCAGACTTGGCGAAGAGCTCTTCAAGCCCAGTGCAGTGCGAAGCATAGATGGGGAGTCTGCTGGTGGAAGGATAGCTGCACCAGAAAGACCAAAGACTGGCTGTTTCTTTAAGAGTCCTTCGATTCACTCAAGATTTTTATCCTGCCTGATAATATTAAGAACACTTACACAAGGTAAACCAAAGTTTGAAGATTATACTGTATGTGTTTGCTGCCCTCTGTAGTTCATTCCCTTTAAGATAATCTGTGTTTAGCTACAAATTGCTGTAACTGTGTTAAACTCAATACAAATGAGTCAATATTATTTCTATGAGATGACAACACGACATGCGATGGATTGTTTCAAATGACATTCTGTTCAGCCACCAGAGATCAGCGGGCTAGTGTTACGTCAATTTTTATTGTTTTATAATTATTTGAATACATTGTCATTCAACAGAACACAAAATTTGCATAAAAAGAGCTAAACAAACATTTTACCCAAGGACAGAGGAAGTATTTTTAACATGACCGCATGACATAAACACTTGCTCACGCTGTTATTACCTCATGTTTAATGCCACTCTCAGCCATTTTTAAAAATTGTATTGTGGGTAATAATAAAATAACCTCTGAGATCCAAATAAGTGTTTACTCTGAAATACCTTTATTGCATACTTGATAAACCTTTCCTTTTTACCTTTTCTTTTTTTTGTAGTTGATCACCTTGCACATGTTTTTGATGTTTTGCGAAGCGACTTGAAAGACGATAGATGTAAAGAATTGTTCATGCAATACCGAGCCACGCCAGTCTTCCTCTCATTCCTGAAACCATCCAATAAAACATTTAATAACATGGCTGTGGATATCTACTTACAAATGGCCACAGAATCAGGTATATTACTTTGTTCCTTAGACGAGACATTTTATACCTTCTTTATTGAACCACCGGTAATCATAAATTCAGATGAAAATAAATTTAATTTTTGGCCTGAAAGAAATTTAAAACAAGCTATAATAAGAATAAACATCTTTCCTTTTTTGTTCTTCATTTTTTAGCAGGGAAACTAAGAGCCTGTTACACTATACACTATTTTATTGTGTGTTTTTTTTCCAGTGGTATTAGCACCATTTCTTGAAAGCTGTAGCAATGAGGCCTGGTTTCGATGCTGCCTATCATTGCTAAAATCTCCATCACTAGACCATAAACTGATGGAGAAGTTGAGCATTATTCTGCAAAAGCTGTCAAAAATCAGGTAGGTCATTATTACTATTAATATTTTAGGCCCTGTCTACCATACCAACTTTTATTTGATTAAAACATGACATGCCTAAATATGGTCTTGATGACATCAGATCATGACCATATATAGGCACATCATGACTATATATGGTCTTGATGGCATCACATCATGACCATATATAGGCACACCTTGACTATATATGGGCATAAAACAGTTTTTTGTCAAAGACAAACTTGACAATCTGGACAGGGATTTAGACACCAAAAAATTGTTATAGAAGAAAATATACATACAAATTCTTTTGTAAACGTCAACGATTACTTTGTCATTTAATGTGGTTGAAAAACTTGCTACCATATTTGTTTAAGTTTTTGATTTCTGTTATTGATTCTAGAAGATAAACAATTATTTCTGATTTATAGTTTAAATTTTTTAATTTCTGGTTTAATAATTAAAGGAAATTCACTTTAACCTGAGTTCCTGTGATATTTATAACATTTGTATCATCAAATCTATTGAATTATCTCAATATTAGTATTTGACTTTTTATTAAGATCGAACAAGAGATTATTTGAGGTGCTCGGCTTTTCAACCATTATTCAAGAGCTGGTCCACAGCTGTAACCATGACGATGCGTTTCTTGCACTCAATTTTCGCTCGATCCTCTTCAACCTGAATGTAAACAAAGTCTCACCATCGCAACTGAAAAGTCTTTTGAGTTGAATCTGAACAAAGTATTTATGTTACAAAACTGATTGAAAATGTGCTGGGGTGTAGCTGGCTAATGTTCAATCCCGGGGTTGACTCGGGCCTGGCGTAGACTCTCACTCCCCCGGTGTGAACAAATCAAAGTGTACACACAACATTTTTAAAACATTTATTCAGAGAGTAAAAGGTTAACCTCTAACCTGGAAGTTACAGCATCAAATTATATTTGATGCACACAGAATATTAGCTGCATATCTAGCCGTTGAAAGTGTAGTTGCGCACTTTTATAACAGTCAAGATACCAAAGAAAGACATATGCTGATTGGTTGATTATTACTGACTGAAGGATCACGTAAAGTGTTCCTTTCTCGGCTTGAATATAGTTTTACAACAACCAGCGTGAGCTCAAGTCTGATTAGGTTCGTACGTAGAAGCGATGACGCTGCGTGACATGCATCTAACGCAAGTCAAATCTTTATTTTTCAGTTTATTTTAAACATATAGTTTATTCCATCTTATAAATGATGGTGGTCACTCGCTGTAATATAGTTTATTCCATCTTATAAATGGTGGTCACTCGCTGTTGTGTAAAAATATGAAAGTGGAGAAAAACACATTATTACATATGATATAATACTTTTATTCTATTAACTATATAATAATAATAGTGTAGTTTTATATAGCGCACAAATCCATCTAATGTAAGATGCTCAGGGCGCTTGAAATGTGGATGAAAAACCTATATGTGGGGTTGTAATTTATTGAATGTGAGGGGGAAACTTCTCACTCCTATAGTTATACATTTATCACATAGGTATTGGTTAATGATAGAAACAGTGCTTGAATACAGCCCACAGTATACAGTATATCACAAATCAAGGCAGACATCTCATCAAACAGCGCCCTCATTGGGATTGTAATATGCCAAAAGAGCTGACTAAATCACAGTCTTTCTATACCATTTACCAGTTTGTTTACATATCTGTTTATATGTTACTATGCAACATCTGTGTTGCATAGTAATATATAAACAGATATGTAAATATGTTACTATGCAACACAGATGTTGCATAGTAACATATAAACAGATATGTTACTATGTTACTATGCAACATCTGTGTTATACATCTACTGAAATTCTGTCTTGTGTATTCAAATATAGGAATCAAGTTGATCTCTGTTTCTTTTGAAGAGAGTGCTTCAATTTTTACAAAAAACCACAAGTGAAGTTGTGTTGTTATAGTGACGTTGATCACTAACAACGCAAATAACTTCGCTGGAGCCTTTTTAAACTTCATAAACATTCACTTCAAGTGGTTAGATGATTTGAAAAATAATCATTACGTTAAATTTAAATTTAATATTTAAAGGTTTTGTAAGAATCATTAGTTTTAACAATATTTAAAACAAATGCAAAAAGAAACTTGTCTAAAGTTATACGTCATGGAGGTCCATGGGCGTGTCCATATTTACCCTTCATCCAAGCCAATCATAAGGTACACAGCAATGGTGTTAACATTCAACAGACATAGGCTAATGAATATATACGTATTACAATGATGACGTCAGCTGCTGGGACTGGCACTTTCATTTTTGATTAGCGATCATATTTTCGAGATATCCGTGAAAGGTGTGCGTGGTCATTAGAGATAGGGATGATATACAGGATCAATCTACCTTTTATCCGTGTAATTGCCACATCTCCAATATCTTATTTCCTAAGGTTTTTAAATGTCGAATCTTGTTACACATGTAAGACAGAACAGCTGTGGTCAAATGCCTTCTGACCAGTACTTGGGCTAAGCCACTAATAGTTTAATTTGTGTATGTTTACTGTAACTTTCATTCAGTTTGTCGAAGAAATCTGTTATATAATTTGTGACTATATTCTTTTCTGGGATTTATTTAAGTGTTTTTAGGAATTTATATTGTGGTATGGCTACAGCGGAATTTGTGCATAGGCTACTCGTATAGTAGTACGACTGTGTAATTCGATGAAAAATAAAAACAGAAAATGAAATCATGCACGCATTTTAGTCTTTTTTTTTTAAATTTCAAAATCGTATTTAGGGGTGTGATGGATGGGCATGCATTTTCTCCCCCTCCCCCCGGCCCCAAAGTTGGAAAAGGTCCACATTGTTAATATACAGTGGAGAACTCACTGGATGTTTTTTCTGTATATTACATTTTAACTTAAATTTTCACATTTTAACCAGTAGTCTTTTTCGTTAGACTAGTATTTGGGCTTTGCAGTTGCCAAAATAATTCGTTTGAGGAAATGGAGATAATAAATTTTCTTTATTAAGATTTAATTCAACATAGACCTTTTCGGATTCTGTTAATGCGGCTAGATTTACTCCAACCTTATCGAATTTATCCGCTTTCTTAAAAGATATAAAGCCTGTGTTTGAATCTAAGAAAACCCAAAGTATTAAAGAATCGAATAATTTAGATGAGACAGATCGAATACTGTATTTCAGTTTTCTGGATTAACAAACTTCGTAGTATAGGCTACGAAAATACTCTATGGCAGCAAATGTAGGCCTATAGTGAACTTTATTGTCAACATATTTGTTGTTTTGCCGATGTTGTTTTCATAGGAGTTATGTTTTGCCCTACCTGACGTGATATCGTACTGAATGTTCAATACGTTTCCAAGTAAATATAAATCGCGAGTGATTCGGGCAGGAATCGAATCCACAACTTCAAGATAAGTGGCATGGTGTCATAACCACTAGAACACCAAGCTTGCGTTTCGTGAGTAGTGTTTTTTAAATTTCAAATAATCTATCACGATCGTACTAAATGCTATATACTATATTTTTCCATAAACGTTAATTGGCTCTATATGAATATGTAACAGGTGGGTTATAGGTCATGTGATGTCATACAACGGATTAAAAAAAAACGAATTTTGACATGATAAGGGCAATAAAATCACGCAAACAACATTAGGGAGGAAGGTTTGCTGAAAGATGGCTTTATTTGAGTTAATTATAAATTTTTACGTATTTGTGAATTGTCACCTCAGCTGTTGGGTAGCTAATCTCCGGGTAGTTTATCTGTCAACGTGACACGTTGGAACGCAAAAAGTGCGATTCCCTTTAAGTTATATAGCTTACAGCATAATTTAATACTTCTCAATATCAATGTATTGTGTTTTATGTGGTCGAATCCCGGATCGAATGCATGTAGGCTTTTCAGTGTTTGATATGACGTATATAAAACATACCCTTGAAGAATAACAAAACTGGTCGCTGATGTGAGATTTTCATAGTACGATGGTTCGTTCTCAGTCATGGATTTGTGTGAGCGCCATCTACCGCTTGTAACACATTCGATCCTCTGATCACAGAAGACGCAAGATTTAAATCGCATACTTAAATGCCAAAACCATAGAAACATCAACGTAAACATTAACTGTTCATTGTGTCGTAAAATTATTTTTATAAAACTAATTTTTGATAACTAAACATTTTAGTTATTATACAGACACTTTACTTCCAATTTCAATATAACTAAAATGTTGATTATCGCAGACATAAAACTGTAAAATACAGCAAGGTTATCATAAAGATTTCAGAAAAAAATAGTTAAAATTCATAACATTATTGATACCGGTTATGACATTAAGTCAGGGCATGTGGCGGCACCACACAGCTGATCCTTGACGTCTTGAATCTCCGGAGGTGGATTTTTCTTATCTGTCGACTCTACTCCTATGTTTTACCTGATATACGCCTATACCTTTGAAGTCCTAAGGAGGTCGGCTTTACCCACCGGAACCAGAAAAGTTCTATATAAGTAGGCCTTCAACATGATCCAAATCGCATAGACCTACACCTAGGTTAGATTTGTTTTTCTGTGTTAGTTTTTTGACAGTAAAGTGTTCGTCGTTTGTAAATATGTTAAGTATCTTCTGTAACTGTAATATATATATATATATATATATATAAATTGAGATGTCAAATAGGCCTATCTGTCACACTGGTTACCAAGGTAACGGAGAACCGCTCGAGGGCGATAGGCCGTCAACGTGCTCTATGGTATTCCTCATTCATTTCCTTGATTCCGTTTTTCAAACCTCAATTTCAAAAAAATAATTACATTTACCAAGGCGAAGAGAAGCGCTTCCGAGATCAGCAATCTCTTTTTTTAAGTCGCAATTGTCGTTGGTCATTTCCGCGTCTGTCATTGTCGCTTGTCATTTCCTATACTTTTGAAGTCCTAAGGAGGTCGGCTTTACCCACCGGAACCAGAAAAGTTCTTTATAAGTAGGCCTTCAACATGATCCAAATCGCATAGACCTACACCCATTAGATTTGTTTTTCTGTGTTAGTTTTTTGACAGTAAAGTGTTCGTCGTTTGTAAATATGTTAAGTATCTTCTGTAACTGTAATATATATATATATATATATATATAAATTGAGATGTCAAATAGGCCTATCTGTCACACTGGTTACCAAGGTAACGGAGAACCGCTCGAGGGCGATAGGCCGTCAACGTGCTCTATGGTATTCCTCATTCATTTCCTTGATTCCGTTTTTCAAACCTCAATTTCAAAAAAATAATTACATTTACCAAGGCGAAGAGAAGCGCTTCCGAGATCAGCAATCTCTTTTTTTAAGTCGCAATTGTCGTTGGTCATTTCCGCGTCTGTCATTGTCGCTTGTCATTTCCCAACCTGTCACTGTGTCGTGTCATCGTACATGTTACTGTCACCGTTACAAGTCTATGTCCCATCATTAGGTGACCTTTTTGATAATTTTATTTAGTATTAATTGCATTGTTAAGTACTTTTCTGCGTCTGGAATATGTTTGCAATTTTTATGAAGTTTATTTTTTATAATTTAATTATTTTTGAACGACCAGAGTGAATTTATTGTTGGCTTTCATTCGTAAGTTAGATGAAGAGCTCGATTTTTATTTTTAATATCCAAAATATTTGTTTTGTTTTGTACGCCCATCATTTATATGTTTGTATGACGTTCAAATTTACGCTTATTGGTACCTGCATAGGCCTATTAGTTCTGCAGTGACGGATTCAAGGGGGCCCACCCGGTCCGGCCCCCTTGAATTTTGTCAAAATTCTTTAAAAAATGGAGAATAAAAGAAAATTACATTCAAATTTCAAGTCTGAGAGTCGCATTTCCGGCCACCTAGAGGGGAGGGGGACATAATCGTAAACTGTCTTACCAGCCCCAGCCATGGTGCGTCTGAGGTGGTATAAACTCTCCATTTGTCAGAGTCCCTCCCTGGGCCCCCTCTCTTTCAAGTTCCTGGATCTGTTCTGTATGTGTATTTGTGTGTGGCAAATATATTATAACAAGGTTTTGGTGTAGCATTTTAATGAACTTACAAATTAATGTGGAGCGCCATCTTCATCCTTAAAAAAATAACACGATTCCATGAAATCGATACTTATGTCTTCTTCGGCTTCTTATATATGTACATAGGCCTATATATTTTTTTTATACAGGACACCCTCCAATTCAAGGCCCCTTTAAATTCCGAGGCCCCTCTAATTCGAGACCACTTTTTCAAAAAACTAAATATAGCAACCTTTAATCTATTAACACAAGCTAACCCTCTATTTGGAGACCGAACCCCGAGACCACTCCCAATGTCTCGAATGGGAGGGCGAACTGTAAGCCCCGCCCCTTAAATATTGTTGCTAAGATCCCACCATGGTTAAAGCATACACGAACACATGCATTTGTGGGACAACACGTGTTTTGTGAGACGCACGCGTATTCCTAGCGCAGTTCCGATTAGTCAGTTGTTAAGTTTGATTGACAATCCGAAAATGTCTATTGAGACAGATCTTTCATTTTTTCTAAATCCAAATTACTTTTACAGTGATACTAAACAATGGAACTATTCAAATAATATATTCAAATTTCCACATTAAAGCATAGTCCTAATTCCTCAATGATTAAACCTTATAATTTACAAGAAACATTTTATTTATAACTTAACATTGACATACCGAT